CAGAAGGGAAATCGGTCTGTAGTTCTTCAAGAGAGCGTTGTCGCCTTTCTTAAAAAACAAGACCACCGCACTTCTGCTCCACGCCTCTGGAGTAGTGCCACCATGGAGGACGGAATTGAAGAGCTTCTGAAGGACTTCAAGTACCGGTGTTCCACCCGCTTTCAGAAGCTCCGCTATAATTCCATCCTCGCCTGGGGCCCTGCCGTTTTTAAGGTGCTGGAGAGCCATTCTAATCTCGCTCAGACTGACGTCCGGAATATCATCGGAATAGTGTCGGATAAGACTTGCTCTTGGATCGTTACTCACACTTGCATGTGGCTCCAACGATGATGTGTACAGCTGCCCATAGAACCTCTCAATCTCACTCAAAATCTCAGGTGTCCCGGAAACGATGCTGCCACACTCAGTCTAGTCAGCCATTGGCGCGGCAGACTTTGGAGCCCTGGTTACGCTCGATCGCTTCTTTAATACGAGCAGTATCAAAGTTGCGTAAGTCTCGCCGCATGCATTTGGAGATCTGTCTGTTCAGTTGCCTGTATGCTGTCAAATCTGTTGACGATTGCAGCCTCATCTCCCGTCTAACAGCCATGAGATTAATAGTGTGATCGGAGAGTTTTTGTGTTTCTGCGGCGGGTCTTGCAAAACTTAGCTCCGACCGCATGGACAGTTTCCACGAGCTTGTCATTGATATCGTCCACTGCATTGCAATCTTCTAGGCACTGAAAGCGGTTTTGTAACTCGAGCTGAAAGGTTTCGGGATTCTGGATTAGAGCACGAGGGGGGACGGAGCGTTGACTTCATTAGACGAGACCTCTCCAACTTAAAATTTAGATTCAGTGTGCCTCTAACCATTCGGTAATCGCTGCCAGTTTTCACCCTTGCGATCACTGAGACATGACTGAATAGTTGGCGTCTGGTCGTCATATTGAAGTCTATCTCATCATTTGTCATACTGTCGGGGCTCGACCAGGTCCACTTTCTGTGGGGCCGCTTCTGGAAGAAAGAGTTCATCATAAAAAGTCCCTCTTTCTCCATGAAGTCGGCCAGCTGCTGACCCCTTGGGTTTCGTTGCCCTATCCCAAATTTCCCTACCTTCAGCTCCACCGTTCTTTCTTGTGCCCAGTTTTGCGTTGAAGTCTCCCATTAACACCGTATAGTGAGTTTTGGAGGAATGCATGGCTTTAGAAATATCCTCATACATTTCCTCCACCTCCTCATTGGGATGTTCCGACATGGGCGCGTAAACCTGTATGACCTTCAGCGAATACCGTTTGGTGATTCTGAGTATAAGGTACGCAACCCTCGTCGATACACTCCCAATCTTTAAAACGTTGTTAACGAGAGACTTGTGGACGATAAATCCAACACCTCCTTGGGACAGATGGTCGCCCTCCCGGTGATAGAACAAGTTGCCGGATTCGAGAATCACCGTGTTCTCCCCCTCTCTTCGGACCTCGGATAATCCTATAATATTCCAGCGCAACTTGTCTATCTCTTCTTCCAGCTCCAGGATCTTCTCGTCAGTCCTCAGGGTGCGTGCGTTAAATGTTGTCAGGTCGAGTCGTCGTAGGTTGCAACCGAACCTCCACCGGAAATTCTTAGCACCCCCTGCAACGCCGTTACCATGGTCGCCACCGCAGCCAGGAATAGCGGGGCCACCGGGGACTGGGGGCCGTCTATTTGTGAAATTGTTCATGGGGGGTATATTGCCATAGTTGCCACGTTTGGCGAGCGGGTTGGCAACCGCAGTTTTTTTTTCTGTCGTACAGTTGCTGTTATCAGGAAGACGCTGCTGCCCATCTCCTGCCTGTCTCCCTTTGTCGCCTTTTACGACACCCACGGGAAGATATGGGGTAGTGGATATACTTAACCGCCACTACACGGCTAATTCACGGTCATTTTGCAAGTAAATATATAAATATCACTATATTTACATAACCTTGTATATATATACACATACGTAAATACAAAATTCATAATACATTCGGATAAATACGACTGTTTAACAATATAGTAATTATATTATTATGAATTTTTCGTCCCTGATAATAATGTGTATTTATTATGTAATTAAAATGTTTATCGTAATTCCTTATTACATTTAGATATACTATTGTTCTATTGAAATACATAAAGATATTTTCATTACAATAATTATTTTTAATAATTAATATAATCAATATATATATATAAACAAAAGAAACCCGATGTTTCGAAGCGAATATGAAGTGGCACATCTCTATCGACAAGCGTCCTTACATGCGCAAAAGCCAACTTGAGCCCTGCCAAGATGAGTGCGCGGACTATAAGTTAACTAACTTTTAAATCTATGTAAAATCTTTCTTTGGTATATTTCTAACCTTAAGCCTCTTTCCATTTCGACGTTATGTAGCATAGTCGCCGAGTACACGCAATTAAGAACACGTAAGAGGCGGCTAAGGTATATTACGAAAGAATCTGTTATTACTTATAATCCTTCCAGTTGTGAGTGAGTTACGAGGGTGGATTGAAAAGTACTCAGCCTAACCAAGAAAATAAACACATACTAAATCAGTTATATTTTTATTTTTCTACATAATCACCATCAAGTTCAATACACTTTTGCCACCTCCCCTTCCAAGCATTTAGACCGTTGAAAAAAAAATGATTCTTCCTTAGAGTCAAAATATGCGTCTACAGCTGCTTTGACCTCGTCTTTTGTCGAAAATCTTTGACCTCCCAAGTGCTTTTTTAGGTTAGGGAACAGAAAGAAGTCTGATGGTGCCAGATCAGGTGAATACGGCGGATGCGGTAACAGTTCAAAGCCACAGTTGTGAATTTCAGCCATTGACTGTACTGACGTGTGAACACGGGCGTTATCTTGATGAAACAGGACTTTTCTTCTGAGCATTCCTCGACGTTTTTCTTTTATTTCCTCTCGTACACGACGTAGTAAGGTGCAGTAGTAATCAGAGTTTATAGTCTGACCCCTTTCAAGATAATCAATCATAATCACACCTTTCGAGTCCCAGAATACTGAAGCCATCACCTTATTTGCCGACAAAATCGACTTAGCCTTTTTTAGGGGGTGGTGAACCAGGTCTTCTCCACTGTTTTGATTGTTGTTTTGTTTCCGGTGTACAGTAATGAACCCATGTTTCGTCCATAGTAACAAAACGATTCAAAAAATCATCTGCATCGGCTTCAAATAACTCCAAACAGTCGCGTGAAATAGTCAATCGCGTCCTTTTTTGTTCAACTGAAAGCAGTCGCGGAACCCACCTCGCAGACACCTTGTGGAAACCCAACTCGTTGACAATGATGTTTTGAGTTCGTTCATAAGAGATGCCTATAATCTCGACTATCTCTCTAATTTTTAATCTGCGGTCTCTCATTATTAATTCAAGTACTTTTTTAATATTTTCGTCAGTAGTTGACGTCGAAGGCCTTCCAGAGCGGGGTTCATCTTTCACACTCTCTCTACCACGCTTAAATTCTGCTATCCATTTTTTGACGGATGAATATGACAGAGCACAATCGCCTAATGTACTGACCATGTCATCATGGATGGCTTTTGATGATAGCCCCTTCTTATGGAGGTACTTAATGACGGCACGCTGCTCGATTTGCTCCATTCGCGGAAATTATGTCCGATTACTTTGTTAATAAATTTATAAAATCACAACTAATTATCGCACACGTTTCGAACTTCACACAATGAACTAGTCTGAACTGAACTAAATAATGTGGGTAGATTTGATTTTTAGAATTGAATGGATCTGTGTTAGGCCGAGTACTTTTCAATCCACCTAGGTATCTAGACGGGTGTCGGTTTCGCGATCGCTAATCCGCTTGTCTAGTATTATTGACTTATTCAATACAGTCTATTCAAAGTCCTGAATCTGAAACTGCTGACAAAGGCTTTGGCATAGATTGTGTCATAAGGGGAATTTTCCCAATATTTGCCACGCTTGGCTTTGATTGGCATCTGGCCAAGTGTAATAATTACGGTAAAACCTTCGCTATGGATGCATCTTACGTCTAGTTGTGGACAGTTTACAGAATGTTAAGGTTTATAAGAGCATTTTTTTACGTGGTAAAACCACACACACATTTTATGATTGTAACACGAATGGGTCGCCGCGACCGGGGTAGGACCACACTCTCACAGAATATCAGCGTGAAATAGCAGCTTAATGCTGCTGTGTTTCGTATGGTGAGTGTAGAGAACCGGAGACCCATTTTACTGGAAACTAGGCATTCCATCTTAATTCTCAGGGTTGAAAACGCATCTGCATTTTGAATCGAGGATAAATGTCGTCATTGCCTCACACAGCGCCTCACGTCATCCACTTACCATCAGGTGGACTGTGTGTTCGTTTGTCACCCTTATTGTATAAATAAAATCTCATTTCCATGGCATCGTAAGAAGCAGCTAAAGGAACGCGACTGTCGTGCGCGTCAGGCGACCGCGACCAGCGGAGTAAATAGTACGTATTCGCGCGTCTTGCGTTTAAATCGAATCGTGTTGATATTTCCGCGATGCAAAACATAAATACGGGAGTCTCGTATTGTTATTTTTCTCACTCATCGCAGACGCAAGACGCGTCGCGCTAGTGTGGCACACGACTTGAGGGTAATATTTCCCATAGTTACCACGCTTTATGGGCGAATTGGTATCTGGTTAATTTAACCTCTCAACCCTCTAGCGGTCTCATGAGACCGCGGCCATATTCCGTCAAATCCCTAACGGTCTCATGAGGTCGCACCCACCCACAGCACTTTAACCCATAAAAACTTATATATAGAGACTACTTTTCTATGAAGAAGTTTGGCATTATATAATCTATACAAAATTCGACCACTCGGGATTTGCCGGGCGCATGCGACTGCATGGGATTTTTATGGCGCTTGAAGGGTTAATGGCTGCGAAAAATCTTTCACTATGGAAGCGTCTTACGTCCAGTTGTGGATTTTTTTTTTACAAGAATGTTTAAAAACTCGTTCCCCTCTCGTATCAGATTATACCGCCGGGCTGCTGTAATATTTCGGCATCGAGCCCGCACGGCTGCGGCTACAGCGACCCGGGTGCGTCGCTCTGTACGCACCAAACGCACCAATAACGAGCCCTTACGACACGCACTGTACGCACTCGACATGATCAAGAATGAGATAAAGGTGCGTCAAACTAATTATAGGTTTAGTGTTTTGGGACCACGTGGTCTAGTGGGTCCCAGGTTGGGAGACGAGCTCTGTCAAATATTTGTCAAAAATACACATCGTTGGTTTTTGTACCTAGTTATGTTAAGTGCATTCGAGTATACTCCTCTGGTTCTATATTACTTCAGAAACAGATAAGTCAGGATGAGTGAGTGTCCTAGGGTGTTGTACCACTATAATAAATCCTACTTAGTAGGTAACTTTTCATTTTATTTTTAGCACACGTAATACACATACTATAACATAAGTACATATCTAAGTGTTTCATCTAAATGTTAGCTCAACGTATCGTTATGACCGGTGAAGGACAAAGATGTCACAAATTACCAACGTTAGACACTCTTAACACATAATGTACGTAATGTACGTAAAGAACCGGTGACACATTTTACTTGTTATGAGGGATTCTATCTAAGACCTCAGGAGAAACACCAACTGCATTTTGATCCTAAGTCTATGATAAATGTAGTCGTCTACTGTCCACCGCATCCACTTATCGTTCAATGGACTGGTAGATCGTCAGTCACCCTTCATTATCATCATCATCATTATCATTACAGCCTTTTCGAAGTTATTTGTGTTAACCGTTATCTCTAATAAAAGTTTATCATTGGCCTGAATATTTTGGAATGAAGCGGGAAAAAATATTTCTTTTTATTGCCTCTACATACCTAAATAATGGTTTATCCTACCAGTCATAAACTTGAAACCTAGAGTATTTAAAATTACTATTATTCAATGTGTTTATGTGTAATCCTTCCACTACATAGAGTGATGCCCTGGTTAAGATAAGCAGGAGGAAGTCGATGGATGCTGGTGGCTCAGGACCGTGTTCTGCGACATTTTTTGGGGGTGGGCTATGTTCAGCACTGGGCTAGTGTAGGGCTATGATAATGATGATGATGATGAATGTGTGAATATAAAAAAATCCAGACAGTCAAATCTCGCGCATACACATCTCTCGAAGAATTGGAGCGTCGCATAGTGGAACAAGAGAAGCGAGCAGCTCACGCCCAGGCTGAGTACCGGCGGGAGCTGGAGAGAGCCTCCCTCGCATTGGAACACAAGGAGGGCATCATTAGGAGCCTTATTGACAAGGTGGCTGATGTAGAAGAAGTGAGGTGAGTAAGGAAGCTATAGAGTATTTTTACAGTCGGTTTTGGCCATAAAATTAACTTCATTTCTGCATAGGATTCAGTTTTGGGTCGACATATCTCACATATCTTCCACAAAGAAGCAGTATACCGATTTAATGTAATGTTTATTGATTCAATATATATGTCTTATCCGACACTATTCCGATGATATCCCGGACGTCAGTCTGAGCGAGATTAGAATGGCTCTCCACCACCTTAAAAACGGCAAGGCCCCGGGCGAGGATGGAATTACAGCGGAGCTTCTGAAAGCGGGTGGAAAACCGGTACTTGAAGTCCTTCGGAAGCTCTTCAATTCCGTCCTCCATGGTGGCACTACTCCGGAGGCGTGGAGCAGAAGCGCGGTGGTTTTGTTCTTTAAGAAAGGCGACAACGCTCTCTTGAAGAACTACAGACCGATTTCCCTTCTGAGCCGCGTCTACATGCTATTTTCGAGAGTCATTACGAATCGTCTCGCACGCAGACTCGACGACTTCCAGCCTCCCGAACAAGCCGGTTTCCGAAAAGGCTTCAGTACCATAGACCACATACATACCCTGCGGCAGATTGTACAGAAGACCGAAGAGTACAATCTGCCACTTTGCCTGGCATATGTGGACTATGAGAAAGCCTTTGATTCCGTCGAAATTTGGGCGGTGCTACAGTCCCTTCAGCGGTGCCAAGTTGACTGTCGGTACATCGAAGTGCTGAAGTGTTTGTACAGTAGGGCTACGATGGCTATCCGAGTACAGAACCAGAGTTCGAAATCTATCCAACTGCAGAGAGGTGTAAGACAGGGTGATGTTATATCCCCGAAACTCTTCACCGCTGCGTTGGAAGACGTTTTCAAGCTACTGGACTGGAAAGGATACGGTATTAACATCAATGGCGAGTACATCACTCACCTTCGATTTGCCGACGATATAGTCATTATGGCAGAATCGCTGGAGGACTTAAGCATTATGCTCAATGACCTCAATAGTGCCTCCCAACGGATAGGTCTTAAGATGAACATGGACAAAACAAAGATCATGTTTAATGTCCATGTCACACCTATGCCGGTAGTTGTTGGGAGCACTATGCTCGAAGTTGTTGACGAGTACGTTTACCTGGGACAAATAGTCCGACTAGGTAAGTCCAACTTCGACCGAGAGGTCAATCGACGGATTCAACTCGGCTGGGCAGCGTTCGGGAAATTACGACATATCTTTTCGTCAGGTATACCTCAATCTCTAAAAACTAGATTGTACAACCAGTGCGTGTTGCCAGTGATGACTTACGGATCTGAGACGTGGTCCTTCACTGCTGGCCGAATGAGGACGCTTAAGGTCGCTCAGCGAGCTATGGAGAGGGCTATGCTTGGAGTTTCTCTGCGTGATAGACTCAGAAATGAGGATATCCGCAGTAAAACCAGAGTGATCGACATAGCCCAACGGATTAGTAAGCTGAAGTGGCAATGGGCCGGCCATATAGCTCGAAGAACCGATAACCGATGGGGAAGAAAGGTTCTCGAGTGGCAGCCTCGTACCGGTAGGCGTAGTGTAGGGCGACCCCCCACTAGATGGAGTGACGACCTGGTAAGACATGCAGGAAGTCGATGGTGCAGGTGGCTCAGGACCGTGCTTTGTGGCATTACTTGGGGGAGGCCTATGTTCAGCAGTGGACTTGTGAAGGGCTGTAATGATGATAATGATGATCAATATATATAATACTGTTGCATGAATAAGTCAACTAGCGCCATCTAGTGTCAGGAACGAGAGCGAGGGGAGCATTGAGAAAATGACATCACAAATCACTCAACTGACAGCGCCTAGTCGAAACTCGAACGCTCGGTACCTTCCGCGTGTTTACTTGAACATTCTGGATATTTCTTTGCTAATTTAAATATATAGGCGCTGCAAGATGCGATGGAGGCAGGGTTGATTTGGGCGAAACAAGCGAAGCTTCGGAGTGGAATTAAGTGAATTAGTGTGTTTAAATTATTAGTGTTTTAACTTTAATTGTGTAAAGTAAATTAAAGTGTTAATTTAGGTAATTTTATCGGCAATTTTTATTGTCACGAACCTCAAGCTCGTAACAATTGGTGTCAGAAGTGGGATAAAATAATGCCGATTTTACCTAAGGAGGAAACGGAGGGTGTCCGTACCCGAAGTCAACGCCAACAGGAGACGGACCAGAGGAGATTTGGTGGTGCAACGCCGCAGATGTCTGAGGGCCAGCCGCCGGCCACGGAAGCCGGTCCGTCAGCAGCTTCTACGTCTGTGGCACCTGACTTAGGTGCTCTGATGGTGATGCTGCAGGAGCAGGCTCGCCGACAGGAGGAACAGGTCCGTCGTTTGGAAGAGCAGCTGCGGGGCGGACAGGAGGAACAGGCCCGCCGATTAGAAGAGCAGCTGCGGGGCGGACAGGAGGAACAGGCTCGTCGGTTCGAAGAGCAGCTGAAGCGTGGACAGGAGGAACAGGCCAGTCAGTTGAAAGAGCAGCAGGAGGAACAGGCCCGCCGACACGAGGAACAGGCCCGCCGACAGGAGGAACAGATGCTCCTCATGAAGGACCTTCACGCTACCTTCGGAAAGGAGATAAAGGAGGTGAAGGATAGGGTTGCTCACCATGACAACCGCCTGTCGGAAGCTGAAAACCGAATCGAGAAAGCTGAAACCCGAATCGACCAAGTAAACAATCGGGTTGAAAACGTAATGGCTGACATGAAGAAATCACTGGACGAACTCAAACTTGGAGATGGAGCTACAGCTCCCGTAGTAGCTACAACACCTTCACTACGTGGGTTCAAGGTGCCACCGTTTGATGGTACCTCTTCCTGGTCAGCCTACAAAATCCAGTTCGAGGCTGTTATGAAGGCGAACGGCTGGAATAAAAGTCAGGCCATGACTGCTCTCACACTAGGCCTGCGCGACCAGGCCTTAACAGTTCTGGAAGCTCTCGGCGAGGAAGTGACTTATGAGCAACTCCTTGAGGCATTGGAGGCGAGGTATGGCGACGCTCACCTGGAACACGTCTTTCGTGCGCAGCTTAAGGATCGCGTGCAGCGCATCAACGAAAACCTGCAGCAGTGGGCTCTAGAGGTGGAGAAGCTGGTGCGAAAGGCATACCGGTCTGTACCTGCGCTCATTGGAGGGAACCTGGTGCAGACATTCATCGACGGCATCCGTGACCTGGAAGTCAGAGCTGCTGTGAGGCTCGGGCACCATGAGACGCTTAAGGACGCCTTGGCCCATGCACTGGAGGTAGAAGCCGTGCGGCAGGATCATCGTTCCCATCGCGTCAGGGAGGTTGCAGCAGCTACAGTTCGCGACCGCAACAAAGGATACAGCCCTAGGTGCTATGGCTGTGGGGAAAAGGGCCATCTTCGATCCAGCTGCCCTAAGCGAACCCTAGAAAGGGAAGGTGAACGATCCCAGGAGGGTAGTGCGGCCAACAGCACCGCCCAGCAGCAGCAGGGAAACGAGTAAAAGCCAGAACTGCGGGGCGGGTGCTGGCTGATGTTAAAAGAGCCCCAAGGATCTCGATCTCACAAACCCATGATGGGAACAGCCTAATCATAAAGGGCGAGATCAACGGAATGCCGTGTAAGCTGACCATAGACACTGGAGCCTCTCGTACGGTTGTTAGTTCCCAACTTATAAGTCAGTTCCTTGGGGACTCCGCATACAACCGAGAACGCCTTAATTTGGTAACAGCCACCGGTCAGCGTATACCCGTCCGTGGAGAGAAGGAGATGGAGTTGAAGCTAGGCAACGTGATCTACCTGCATAATGTCATCGTGGCTGATATAATGGACGACTGCATCTTAGGCCTAGACTTTATGAGGAATAATTGTTGTGAGATCGACGTTAAGCAAGGTGTTTTGAAATGTGGACAGGAGGAACTTTTTTATGGAAGGTGCGTTACCAGGGAACGTGTACAGCATCAAGAAGATTGTTCTTCCGCCGAGATCGGAAACGATTGTTCCGGTTAGTCTACCTCGAAACGCTGGGCAAGCTCACCGTTGTGTACTTGTGGAAAGGGTAAACAATGACCTTCCATGGAAAGTAGCTCGAACCTTGGTCAGGACCACTGACATCTCAGGAGTACGTGTGCTGAACCTTTGCGACCGGGAACAGATTATAGAAAAAGGCACACTGGTTGGTACTTGTGAGGAAGTGGATTGGTTACGTCAGTGCCAATATATATCGAGTGGGACCCCCAGCAAGGATTCAGAAACGAGAGTGACCACACTTTTGGAAGACTGTCGCAGTGTTCTGTCCCCGAACGAATTGGTCAAGGCGAAGAAGTTGTTACTCAAGTACGCCGATGTATTCTCATCAAATGATGCTGACATAGGAAAGACTGGCCTAGTTCAACACAAAATAAACACAGGAGAGGAATTGCCTATCCGTCAGCGGCCAAGAAGATTGCCGGTAGCACGTGAAAAGGAAGTGGAAACCATGATTGAAGGAATGGTGAAGGATGGTGTTATTGAACCTTCCTCTAGTCCATGGTGTTCACCAGTGGTGCTGGTGAAAAAGAAGGATGGCAGCATGCGGTTCTGTGTTGATTACCGCCGTCTGAACGACGTTACAAAGAAGGACAGCTATCCCTTGCCAAGAATTGATGACACGCTGGACATGCTTACAGGAGTAAAATGGTTTAGCACGCTGGATCTAAAAAAGTGGCTACTGGCAAGTTGAAATTGACCCTAAGGACAAGGAGAAAACTGCGTTCTCGACGGGAAAGGGTCTGTGGCAATTCAAAGTAATGCCGTTTGGGTTGTGCAATGCTCCAGCAACGTTTGAAAGGCTGATGGAACTTGTACTTACCGGGCTAATTGGCGATGCCTGTCTGGTCTACTTGGATGACATCATCATCGTGGGCCGTACGTTTGAGGAACACCTTCAAAACCTGGAACGCGTGCTCATGAAGATTCAGAGTGCCAACCTCAAGTTGAGCCCGAAGAAATGTTCACTATTTCAACGGCAAGTTAACTTTTT